CATCCATATATTCTCCCATTGTTCCAGCATCACAATATAACCAAAATTTCTTGCCCATTGTATCATACAATGTTTTACATGTTTGCTTTCCAAATTCAATTTCAATAGCAAATGAACTAAAGATTAAGATTGTTTGAACTCAAAGGAAGGAATATAAAGTTGGTTATTTGATCAAGGTTAAAATAAGACCTTATTTTATAAAGTGTTATAAACTTTCTGCTAACACAAGGATTAAAAAGTTAATATTTTATGGATATGTTTATAGATAGGGTATGGGAAGAGATAATGTGTAATCTCATGGGATGGAGAGAATCACTAAATTTGTCTATACTTGTAATGAAGGTTGGAAGTCATTTCTTTTTCTTTATCATATTCTTTCTTTTTTCTTCTTTCTCTTTCTTCTTTTTACTTGTGCTTTTATTCTTTTATCCTATTGTCTTTTCTTTAAGCTTAAGTTGCATTACTTTTTTACTATTATAATCAAAATCCTTAATAAAAGTGATATTTAAAACAAGCCAGTATATGTGCCAGGCCCTGTGGTTTAGGCATTTTTTTATAGGTGATTAAGGCAAATGTATGTCAAAATGATGGGAGCATAACTTCAGCTATACCTTCTTACCCGCTATATATTTTATGAGGATCTACACGCTGAGAAGAAAAGAGAAAATGGCAGGAGAAATTTATCAGCACATGATGTGCTAGAGATTTCAAGAAGTAGGAAAAATTAAAGTTTATTATGTTTAATTTATACCTGTACATTATTTTCGAGAGAGAATCTTAATATGCACTTCTCAGGAAAAGCTTCATTTGCATGTCTACAGCTTAAGGAAATATCATGAAAAATTTAATAAGGACTTCTTTGACTCTAAGGAGGTACTATTTTATGAAAATATATTCTGAAGTAATTTTTTTCCTTATTAGGGACAGTGAATAAATTCTGAACTAACTATATCTGGAATAAATTTTGATTTTTTTTAAGTCTTAAAAGTCCTAAAACAGGCAAGATATTTTAAAAAATAATTTAGATAAAAATTTAAGTGATATAATAACCAATCAATATTTTTTTAAAAATAAGTTATCTTTTTGTTCCCCTTCCAAACTATTTATAGTCCATTTGTCATGAATGGACTATTCCCTAGGAGGAATCCTCAAGATTTTTAGCCCAGGGTGAAGTCCTGAGTAATAGTCCAAGCAGATGGAGACTAAGGTTTCAAGATTATTGTGAGTGTCATGAGATGGATAGGCAAGAGATTTATAGCTCTGCTGTAAACCAATTTTCCTTAATTTGGCAACTTCTAGAACTGTTGGAAAAGGAGCTTCCAGGCTCAAATCATCCATAGGGACCCCAGATTTGGTGTAAAATAAGCAATATTGCTGTAACAATCTTGGAAATGCAACACACATAATATTTAGACAAGAGAGTTAAGTTATTTTTGTGTGCACATGCTGAACTTAAAAGTCAAATGTTGTTGTTGCTTATCAGATAACATGATAAGACAGAAAAGAGCAGGACATTAATTGGATCCTCCTTTCATGCCTTTCTTTTTTCCCTGTTTCCCACGTCAACATATTTCCCTCTATTGTTCTTGTTCACTGAAGACACTGGCCCAGTAAATAAAAGTGAGGTTACTGAAATAAATTTTTAGCTATTAGTTTTGAATTAATTAATTAGTTTTGAATTAGTTTTCATATTATCCCTGAATTAAAAATATTTGATGAGATGAAAACTATCCACTGAAAGAATTTGTCTGCCTATGTGAGTCCTGAAGCAATTTTTCTCTCAGCACAAAAAGTCCTTGTTTTAACCATGGATTGTTAAACAAGCCATAATAGTAACCCTCATTCACACATGCTACGCCAGAGAAGCAAACTCTTGGGGATGGAATTCTATTGGGAATTTTAAAAGCAGGTGGTCGGTACATTTCAAAATGGCTGCCATTGATGAGCATTGAGAGTCATGAATCAGTGGTGTGATTGGGCAAACTTGCACCAGCCTGCAAAAGCAAATTATTAAATTTTCTGGAACGTCACAAGCCAACTGACAGTAGAGCTGAACCACTACGACCAATCAGCTATTCTCTGTCTAATCCAGCATTGCCGTGGTCCCAATGGAGCCAGCAGAGCCTGTTCTTAAACATTTGCCAGCAAGCACTGTGAATCATCATTAAGCTGAACCCCTCTAGTCTCTAAGATGGTTGCTCCAGTGTTCCAGTGGAACATTTATTGGAACCTGGAGGTATTTACAAATAAATATTATGCTAGAGTACGATACTTCGCTTTGCAGCAAGCCAGATTGCCAATTAATTATTTATTTAAGAATTATTTCATTGAAAGAATCTTTTTAAAAAGTCAGATGGGCAGGGAGACTCATGGACACTAAGGGAAGATGTAGGACTATTTTTTTTTTTTGTTACCTGCCTCTGTGCTAGACTATAATCAGAGCTTATAGTGGCTAGGTTCACACAGCAGACTGAGTTGAGGTTTAGAAGAGTGATTAAGAAGACATCACATCAGCCCTTTTCAACTTGTATAAAGTCATCCCAAGGTTTTTAGATGGTGAGCCTGAGGCGATGTTTCTTTTTTTTCCTCTTGCACACGATTTTTTTTTTTTTTAGTTCATAAGCAATAATGGAACCCTGACAAGAGAACAATTGACAAAATCCAAACCATGACACTGTAAAACAAAACAAATATGGCTATTTTACCACTAATACTCTGAAATAAATTGTCTCCATTTTTTTTCAGTTCAGAGGTTTACGTAAAGCATGCCACCTGCTTTATAGTTTGACAAATAAAAGCTATATTTCAAAATGCCTATTTTCTTCCACTGTATTTTCTCTTGCTCAGCAGTTTTAACAAAAATAAAGCAAACAAGCAAATGAAATCATACCAATACCTGTCCCTGAAAAGTAGAATGATGTGATTTTACTGATTACATCAGTTTCAGTTCTCAGCTGAAAAATCAACTCAAAGCAAAGGAAGTTATATAAGACAGAAAAAAGTGCCTTCCCTCCATGAAATTGAACATCACAACCACAGTGCAGACAACAGCCCTGAAGTCAAACTTCAAAACAATGGGATCTCCTGTGTTGCCACTGTAAGGTTGTTCACCAAAGCTCATGCCAAACTGGATAGATGACCACTACTCATTACAGACTCTTTGCCAACGACTGATGAAATCTCAGTGCTGCAAATCAGGGGTGTGCAAAATGTGCCACCACAGAAGGTTCTGATCTTAATGTTTTGATATTGAAGCAGATGCACAAAATTCTATGGGAATAGTTGGATCCTGAAACAATTCCAGAGTCAGAAAAGTTTAATTTCAAAAGTTGGACCCCTTTTGCACCATTTAGACTGGCCTGTTATGAGGTCAGAACTTTCTGCAACAGAATAGTTTCCACTTTCCTGGTGCATTTATACATTTACTATTACATGATGACTTATGCTCCTTTGCCTAATTCCATAGAGAACATTCCTGCTCCAGGGTTAGATGAGTTGCTGTTTTCATGCGAGCTGGTAAACAGGTGAGCTGAATTAGTTTTTGTTTGCAAATTGAACTATCAATCTAGCAAGGACCACTGATTGAAGTAAAACGCATTATTACTACAATATCTATTGGTGTTGCGTATAGATGTAAATCAAGCTTTTGACTTACGACCATAACTGAGATCAGAATTACCATTGCTAAGCAAGATGGTTGTTAAGTGGGTTGCCCCTGATTTTACCAACTTTTTTTGCCACGGTTGTTAAGTGAAGCATGCAATTAAGTGAATCATGCAGTCATTAAGGAAATCTGGTTACCCGCCAATGACTTTGTTTGTCAGACAATGGCTGGGAAAGTCACAAGTGGCAATTACATTGACATGGGACTTTGCAACTATTGTAAATACATGCCGGATGCTGTGTAAATATGAGGGCCAGTTGTAAGTCATTTCTTTCAGTGCCGTTGTTACTTTGAATGGTCACTAAATGACTGGTTGTAAGTTGAGGACTACCTGTAGTGTTAATTTTCTTATAGGATGTCCAATTAAAATCAGCAATGTATTAATGGATTCAGATATAAACTAGATGAGGCCTGTACATTATTGATTATTTGAAGAACGTTGATCTTTTCTTACCTCAGATCACCTCAGATCACATGAAATCAAAAATTTGTTTTACTTTCTCTGTTACAAAGTAAATTTGTAAGGCTTCACATCCATATTCAGATTTTCAAACTCAAAGTATTACATCACTATTTGAGTTCAAAGGGAGACACCAGCTACTAAGAAAATTTAGATATTTTGATGTTTCTTCAGACCAAGCAAAAGGGGTAACTGATAGATGTAGCTGTGGTCAGGAGACTAAAATGAGTGGATGGTTCTCGTTTTTACTTTCAAAGGTCAAGAGGAAAGGCCAGCCTGTCGTTTTTTTGTAATAAACCTATGTTGGAACAGGGAAGAATTTCTCCTCTGCAAAGAATCCTGTGGCATGAGGATTCCTGACTAATATCTGGTGGAAAACCCAAATCTGTTGGAGTATTAAGGCTATGGATGCGGAAATCTCCTGAAAACCTTTACCTAAGCCTTAGATAATCACAAATATGTATGAAATGTCTAACAGCCTGGAATATGTTTTTACATATTTCATTGGTAGCCAAACCTCAGTCAGAGTGAAAGTTCTGTAAAGTAACAAATTTAAACTTTCAATAGAAAGAGCTCAGTAAACTATTGCCTGGGGACAAGAATTGATGCTAATATGTGAAGTTCCACCAATTATACAGGCAGGTAGCAACCTCCAGAACCGACACTGTTTAATAGCAGATACTTATTTCTCTTTGCTAGAGGAATAAAATAGGACTTTTCTGAATATCTGATTGATATGAATTCCCCCACATCTCCATAGCTTTATGAAAACAGCTTGCACTTGAATAACCTTTACACAAAAAAGTGTTGGCAATGGCCGCCTATTTCCCCACTAACTCTGGCCTTTTGGTCCCCTTGTATCACACTGCCACCTACCTCTGTGGCTCCAGCTGACCTCTGCTATCTTCTTTCTCCTATAAGGCACATCTGTCTGCGGTAGCTGTTGTCCCTCTGTGACGTCTCAACAAGGCCGCCTAACACCTCACAAGGCTTCTGTGAGGGAAATAAGAGGAGCAGTGGTTGAAATGCACATTGCCAGTTGACTCTGCCTATGGTCTGGAGTTTAGCTCAAGGCTGACTCAGCCTTCCATCCTTCTGGGGTTGTAAAATGAGGACCCAGATTGTTGGGGGCAAGATACTAGCATTTGTTAACTGCTTAGAAAGGGCTGTAAAGCACTGTGAAGTGGTATATAAGTCTAAGTGCTATTGCTATTGCTAAATAGGAAGGCATTGGAAAGACATCGCAAAGGGTACCATGTTTCCCCGAAAATAAGACCGGGTTTCCAAAAGAGGCACCAGGTCTTATTTTGGGGTGATGTCTTACTCACCTCTGGCACCAACAGCCCTGCCCAGCAGGCCCACTTCTTCTGGGGTCAAAGGAGCAGCTTCATTCTGCAGCTGCATTCTGTCCTGCATTTTACAGTCAAGCCTTTCTGGAAGGCCTACACAGCTGAGTACCAAGCTATGGATTCAATCCATAACTCGGTTCTTGGCTTGAGAAGTCTTGCAGAACTGAGCTATGGATTGAATCCATAGCTCGGTTCTTGGCTTCCCAGGCCTTCTGGAAAGGCCTGTGACTGAGAAATGCAGGCCTGGCTGCAGAAGATGCTGCAGAAGAAGTGGGCCGGTGAAGAGAGGCCTGGCTGCAAGATAAGTGGGTGTGGGGTGCATGGGGCAGATCCTCCCTCTGCCCCACCCTAGCCTGATTTTTAAGTGTGTGCCTTGCCCCAAAACTAGGGCTTATTTTTGGGGTAGGGCTTATATTAGGCCCACCCCCCCAAAAAAAAATCAAGCTAGAGCTTATTTTCAGGGTAGGCCTTTCTTTGGGGGAAACACGATAGTAGCTGCCCTTGCTGAGCATACCTCCTCAGCAGTGGGAAGAGGAAGGTGGCAAGGGTCCACTGGGGATGAAGGGGAACATCCGAGGTAGTAATGGAAGGGGAATAAAGGTCAGCCAGCAGAGACATGTGGAGAAACAGAAGCAGAGGTGAGCACAGCAGGGCAGAAGTGTGAAGTCCTCACTTAACAATGGCATGGTTCTTGTCTAACTACTACCTCTAGAGTGACCAGAATTGCTGTTGCTAAGCAATGAAGGTCATGTGATGTTTTACCTAGCAACTATTACACTTAGCAACAGAAATCCTCTCCTATTAGGATAATTGAGTGAGGATTAATCATATATCTAGTACAGGTCCTTGACTTACAACCATTTGTTTAGTGCAGTGGTTCTCAACCTGTGGGTCGGGACCCCATTTGGGGTCGAACGACCATTTCACGGGGGTCGCCAAACAATGCAGTCCGCCATTTTTTTCCCCTTTTCCTTAGCTGTGCTACTCCCTTTTATTCTATTGGCTTTTGAAAGCCAATAGAATAGACTCGCTTGAATAGAGTCTAATTCTATTGGCTTTCAAAAGCCAATAGGAATTGTCCAGGCTGCTTCTGCCCTGCTGAGCCCGCCAAAAGTCCCATTCTGCAAACGGTGCTGCACCAGTTGAGTAGTCCTCGACTTATGACCGATTGAGTAGTCCTCGACTTACGACCGGTTGGGGGGTCGCGGCATTAAAAAGGTTGAGAACCACTGGTTTAGTGACTGTTCAAAAAGTTACAATGGCACTGAAAAAATGACTTATGGCCATTTTTCATACTTACGACCATTGCAGCATCCCCATGGTCAAGTGTTCAAAATTCAGACGCTTGGCAACTGGCATGCATTTATGACAGTTGCAGTGTCCCGGGGTCATGTGATCACTTTCTGTGACCTTCTGACGAGCAAAGTCAATGGAGAAGCCAGATTCACTTTACAACCGTGTTACTGCAATGATTCACTTAACCGCTGTGGCAAGGAAAGTCATGAAATGGGGCACAGCTCACTTAACAACTGTCTCACTTAGCAGAGAAAAAATTTGGCTCAGATGTGGTTGTAAGTCAAAGACTATCTATACGCCCTCAAGAAGTCTTGTTCAGCCACAGATAGAAGACCTGCATTCCCATCCCATTCCCATCCCAAAGCCTCCACTAGTTCCATCCCACTCCCTTTGGCAGAAAAGGCTGGGCCACCCTGACACGCTTGCCACGTGCATCTCAAGGCTGCACACCTTGCCCAGCACCTAGATCCAGGCCAGGAGGAGAAGGAAGAAGAAAGCAATGAAGATCAGTTAGGGTGGTGAATGTGGCAGGAGGCAGCAGTGATGGAGTGCAGGATGGCCAAAAGGGCAGGGATGCGGGAAATTGGTGGGTAGAGGGAATTAAAACAGAGGTAAGCCTGGCAGGGCATCAGAGCCTTGTCTGATGAAGGGAACTTGCCAGGCCCAGCTGGGGAAGAGACAGCAAGATAGAACTGGTCGTTCATGCAGGGCATGAGAAACGCAAGGTCCTTCTCTAACAACAGCATGACCCTCATCTAATGACCGCAAGCTGGACTACTGGAATTGCTGTTAAGCGGCATGGTTACGGAATATTTTGCCTAGTGATCGCTTCACTTAGCAACAGAAATTCCAAGCTGTGTTTGGGGCTATTGAGGCCTACCTATAGGCCAAAGATATATAAACTATGGCTATACTTTGGCTCATGCTGCTCAGTAGCTGCTAATGTTTTGATAGGAGCCCAGAAAACACTGTATTATATGCATACTAATAAATTTATGTGGTATCTTCAAAATGATTCTGGTATTTTAAGTGAGCCAGCTTTGACCACATTAGGAGACAGGTGGATGCCATTATTTGAACCTAAATGTTAGGTTAGAAATGTTCAAGAGATGTTGGCAGCAAAAATGTAAGGGAGATTCCTATTCACTCAGTTATATACTTCTACATCAAACTTATGGCCTAAAATGAAACAGGATTTCATGTCAACCAAGGGGAACAGTATTAAATATTAATAAAATCTCAATTGGTATAAGTGGAACAATTTTAAGCTGTAAGATTCATTTGAACAAATATACAGCAATGTATTCATTATGTGTTTGTTCTTATAGCATTCTGTAGCAGCCAGTCAAATGAGTCTTTTTTATTTATCTTTCAAATAAACTTTCTTGGCTGGCTTCCCCATTCATAAAGCCAATGCTTAGCTTGCAAATATAGTGTTTCCCCGAAAATAAAACCCGGTCTTATATTATTTTTGCCTCCAAAAGAGGCATTAGGTCTTATTTTGGGGGAATGTCTTATATTTTTCGTGACACCTGTCTTGCTTTGTGGCGGCAGCACCAACAGCCCCATCCAGCAGGAGCCCGCGTGGCTGCCGGCCCACTTCTTCTGCAGCCACTCATGGCAGGAGGCAGCACGATACATTGTGCTGCTGCTGGCACAACAAGGCGAGGCAGGTGGGGGATGGGGAGCTGCCCCATGCACCCCACACCTGCTTACTTCAGCCCCCCCCCTCAGCCAGGCCATTCCTTGCTTGGCAACCTTCCTTTTCCCTCCCCTTCCGAGCCGGACTGCCATGCTATGGAGGATGGGCGGGGTAAGCCCGGTTCCCCTCCACTGTTTCGGAGCCAGGGGGGAATGATGGTGAAAGGCTCCATTGCCGCTGTGCACCGGTGGAGGGGCTTTCTTCATTCTTTGCCCCACAGATCACCTGCCCAGCGGCACTGCCACCTCCTTCTCCTTATGACCTTGTGGTCATAAGTCGAGGACAATCTCAACTACATATTTAGAGATAAAGGTGGGGTTTGACAAATGAATCATTTAAGATAAGAAAACCAGTCACAGTTGAAGGAAAAAGCTGTATAGAAATCAGGACCATACTCAAAGAAGGATAACTTAATAAAACACAAGATTAATGCAGGTATTTATGTAGAAAAAGAAACAACATCTACAGCCAGAAAAGGCATATTTTCAGTTTCCATCCCCCTTCCCAAAGAAAAGTTAGAAAAACAACTTTGTGGAACCCCTCCTCACACTTCAGTCAATGGTCTGAACTGGTCCACAGAAAGAAGAGGGACTATTGAGTGAGGTGGAATAGAATAGTGACTAAGTGGGAGAATGGGGCAGAAATCTCAGCATGGCTGGCTGAGGAATTCTGGGAGTTGAAATCTTAAAGTTGCCATGTTTGGAGACCCCTGCTGTAGAACACTAAATTGTGTTATCTTCTTAGAGGACACACTTCTTTTTATATTAGAAAAGATGGACCATCTCTACGCTTTACCCTTCGCTAGCACTGGTACCTTTGCTTTTGTCCACATGGCAACCACATGAATAAAATCTCTTGCCCAAATGGACATTGTCTCAGCCAATTTTAGAGAGAGGGAGAGAGAGACAGAGAAAAAACTCCATCCAATTCTTGCGGCACTACATTTCTTTCTCCACAGAAGCCTCAGACTTTTATAATACTGAATTAGCTCTGTGAATGAACAGCATAAGACTTGCATATCCACATAACACAAGGAAATCTGTCTGAATGGTACAATTAATGTTTAATTAATTTCTACCTTCTTTTCTATCAATGAGTGCCTCAAAGCACCAAAAATACTAACCCAAATAATTAAACCACAGAATTAAAGACATAATTCAATCGTCATACAAACAAATCTTCCAACTCAGGAGAACATTAGCTTAGATCTCAGTACCATGTTCAAGTTTAAAAAGGCTTTTGTTGCTAGGAGAAAGATATCAATTCCCTCCTGAGCATGGAGTCTTCAAAACTAAAATTAGCCTCTATCTCAATAGAGGTCTATTCTGTGTAGGTTTAGGTTGTATTATCAGTCTGGTCACCCACTGACAACTACAAAAATTTGGTAGGGAAAATCTCTTAACGTACAGTAGTCTCCATGTAAGATCATAGCATAAATATATCAAGCTGCAACAGAAGTCCTCAACTACAACTGTCTAAATCTCTGCCTTTTTTTTTTTTTCAGTAAGGGGGAAAGGATTTCAGAATTCAGGGGTTGTTTTTTTTACATAAGCAAGTCAGGTCTGGTTATTTCTTAGATGGGGATGTCTAGAAACCCCACAGCTGTAAGATACAGTGGAAAATCAAAATAACATCCTGCAATAGGCAACTGCTGCTATGTTTTTGAGAATACAGGAGCTGTATTGCATGGATCTGCCCATGAAGTCAACAGGGACCAAGAGAGATTTTACTCAGGTATAAATATTAAAGCAGTAAATATACACAATAGTGTATCTAATCTTAATTATAAATAGCAAAAGCACATTTCAACAACAAGGATCAAAAGTACTAAAGGAATTTATTGCTACCACTACCACTACCATTCACGTATCATGTAAATGGTAAGGTAACCCTGGAGAGACACACACACAAAGAGAAAACACACAGGGTTTCTACAGCGATGCCTCCATATGCACTTTGGGAATAGAACCAGCTGAATTCAAAGATTTCCCAAACTCTAAAAAAGAGGAATATGTGTAAAATCAGAAAAAGCCACATCCCAGTACAAGTGTATAGTGGGACAAATGAAAGCATTAAGATGGTGAACATAGGCTCACTTAACATGGCACAGTTCATTTCTTCGGAGCAGACATGCCCAAGTTGTGCACTATGAGCTAGAAACAAGCGTGCTGATAGCTGGCCATGTTGTCTAATCATATCATAATTACACTTTCACAACTGGTGAATTTTCTTCTGAGCATCCAGCCAGCAATAGGAAAGCAGTAGAGCAAACAGTTAATCCAATAGAAAGAAGACATGTAGGTGGAGGTCAAGGTCTGGTTTTCACTCTGTGTCTTTTAAACTCCCACTGTTGCAAACCTCCTATATCCAGGAAGAAAGTTTCCAGGCACAAACCAAAAATAGAGAAACTGGTATGTGAGCACACTAACCCACATGCATAACATTCAATATATTTGAACATTCACAGGAGCCAATGAAAACACAGATATTGCAACATATGAATTAGACTTGCTCTTAATTGGAAATCCACTAACACTTTCCCAGTCTAATGTTTGTACTGCTTAGAAAACATACATACTTCCTGTGTCTAAAAGCGGAAATTAGACACTTGGATATTCAGCTTGTTCTTGATGAGCTAGTAAATCTGCAGGTGGCTGTAACTTTTCAATTTACAGATTTATCCCTTCCTTTGATACAGTATTGTAAGGGTCAGCAGCTACCCAAAGAACTTGAGGTTCCAAGAGGGCAAATCGGGAGACTCAAGCAGAGGCTTCCAAGTCAAACAGAAATTTATTTGACCAAGTGAAGTTGCTGGGTGGAACACTGTCTGAAACACTAGCAGCTGCCTTCAGAAGTGCCACACAGTGGTCAGTTAGGCACTTCTATTTATATACAGGTAACAACCAATCACAAGGTGACACTTGATGGCACACAGAATATTAACCAATCATCTTTCATTACTTTCCTGCTCTTTCCCTTGTTTCTGGGCCTGTGTACATGATCTTCTAGCCTTCACAAAATGGCTTCCCTAATGCAAGCACAGTGTACAAAAGCAAAATGGCAGTCATTAGGCTAATAACAAGAATACCTTTTGTACAATCCTTATAATATTTTTTCATATACAAAGCTGCTGTTAACATGAAGACATGAATAGGCTACTTGGTGCAACCAATTATTACCCAATCTATGGAGAATCTTGTATCCTGCTGTTACATTTGATTGCATCATTATCTTAGCTAGTAGGGCTGTTCAAGTGTTTCCAAAAACACCCACATAGCACTGGTCTGCAGTTTCTTAAAGCAACCATGTCTTTTTCTGGAATCATTCAGTTGGCTTCTCCAACTCTCCTGCAGGAGCTGCATAAGTTGCCGATTTGCTTCTGGATTCAATTCAAGGTACTGGTTATCTCCTTTAAAGCCCTGGCTTGGGATCAGGTTATCTGAGGGACCGTCTCTTGCTGGTCACATCTATCCAACCTACTAGAGCAGGAAGGCAAGGAATACATCTGGTATATTTGGCGAGATCCAAAAGCAGGTGGTTCCCTCCCTCTGGAACATCATCCCTCCAGAAATTAGATTGGCCCCCACTCTAACACTTTTTTGGAAGGCCCCGAAGATCCCTTCCAGCTTCTATTCTATTCTATTCTATTCTATTCTATTCTATTCTATTCTATTCTATTGTAAATGTGGTTCTGCGAGCAGGCCTGGGGAACCCAGAGCAGGATGGAGCTCATTAAATGGCTGGCATGAATGTATGTTGTCACCAGTGGGGGGGGGCAGTAGGGGGGTTATTATTTTATTATTTTTTATTTTATATTGTGCTTTTATGTCCTATAAGCCACCTTGAGTCGCCTTGTGCGAAGAGGCGGCAGTATAAATTTTCTAAATAAACAAACTGCAGTTCAGTCCCAGGAAAAATTATGTTTGTGTTATGGAGTTGAAGAGAAGTGCAGTATACATATTTATTTGTTTGTTCAAATTCTGTAGCCACCCATCTCAATCAATTTTTTGTGTGGCTTATAGTTCAGAAATATACAATTAAAGCAGTTCAAACATTTTAAAAATTATAAAAACATCCAAAATAAATATATGTAATGCAGCCAAGATACTTGACTAGATAATAGTAAGGCCAGGAAATGGGGCCCAAACACATTCGGCACCTCAGATTTGGGAATAAAGCCAGGTTTTTAAAGCCTTATGAAAGTGCAACAGACTTGAAGACAAGGGGAAGATATTCCACAGACCAGAGGCCAGTGTAGAAAAGGCCCAACTTCTCGTTCTCTTTGGATAAAAGGATCTGCAATAGGCCCAATTTGCTCAATCAAATTGGACAGGTAAACACTTTTGGAAAAAGGCAATGCCTCAGGTAATCTATTATCAACATGGATTAGATGAGGGAAACCAGAATCCACAAATCTGAAAATTAAAATGCCAGAAAGCTTGATCTCGTAAGCTAGAATGTAACCTGATTTAAAATCATGGCTACATTTATTTAAGCTCATTAGCCACAGCTTTTTTTTTTTTTTTGCAAACTGTTTATTTTATTTAAATTAATGTCATGCTACCAGTTTTTCAGACTGTTAAACCATGGAGCAACTGTAATAAGAAATGGATCCATTAAACTGAAGAAAGATTAAATGCAATTATGGAAAGCAACTTCTTCATCATAGCTGTTTCTCTAAACGCTAAAATAAATTCAACTGTATGCAAATGTGCAATTTATTATGGTAGTGGTAAGTCAAACTAAGGTCATTATCAGATAGATGGCTCAAATAAGCAAATTTATATTAATTTTTCAAACATCAAAAAAAAATCAAAAAAACCTCTCTAACTAGCACTGCAAGGAGAGAATTATAAGGATGCATGTATTTTTACGCAAAAATTCTACTGGAATGCTATTTTTAAAATTAATAAATATATACTAAAACAACTTTCCTACAAACTTCAGATTATAGACTTGAATTCCCAGAATACCATAGACAATAGGGGCCTCGCTGAGGATCATGGGAGTTGAAGTCCATCATATCTGGAGAAAGAAGTTTGTGGAAGATTCGCAAATTTTAAAATGTAGTTAGGAAATATATAAGTTCAGTGATTTGTATTTTAGATCTAAAGTGAGGATGAAAATATTATTACTAAATAAACAAATCAAGAAATAGACACAAGGCAATATATGGTAAATTTTCCTCAAAATTTCACTGCAGGGTATTGGATATTACTTGTAATTTTTTGTTTGGTAAAGGCAGGGCTAGATGAAACAAAAGTTGGAATTAAGATTGCCGGGAGAAATATCAACAACCTAAGATATGCAGATGATACCACTCTAATGGCAGAAAGTGAAGAGGAACTAAAGAGCCTCTTGATGTGGGTGAAGAAGGAGAGTGCAAAAGTTGGCTTGAAACTCAACATTAAGAAAACCAAAATCATGGCATCCGGCCCTCTCAATTCCTGGCAAATAGATGGGGAAGAAATGGAGGTAGTGATAGATTTTATTTTTCTGGGCTCCAAGATCACCTCAGATGGGGACTGCAGCCAAGAAATTAAAAGACGCTTGCTCCTGGGGAGGAAAGCTATGGCAAATCTAGACAGCATACTAAAAAGCAGAGACATCACCCTGCCAACAAAAGTGCGTATAGTCCAGGCCATGGTTTTCCCAGTTGCAATGTATGGCTGTGAAAGTTGGACCATAAGAAAGGCTGAGCGCAAAAGAATTGAGGCCTTTGAACTATGGTGCTAGAGAAGACTCCTGCGAGTCCCTTGGACTGCAAGGCGTTCAAACCGGTCAGTCCTAGAAGAGATCAACCCCGACTGCTCTTTAGAAGGCCAGATCCTGAAGTTGAAACTCAAATACTTTGGCCACCTAATGAGAAGGAAGGACTCACTGGAGAAGGGCCTAATGCTGGGAAAGATTGAGGGCAATAGAAGAAGGGGACGACAGAGAATGAGATGGCTGGATGGAGTCACTGAAGCAGTAAGCGTGAGCTTAAATGGACTCCAGAAGATGGTAGAGGACAGGAAGACCTGGAGGAACGTTGTCCATAGGGTTGCAATGGGTCGGACACGACTTCACAATTAACAACAACAACATAAACAAGAAAAAAATGAATAGTAAATTCATCCCAAATGTCATTCTGCTCAATGTAAAGTTCCCACTTTGGTCTTGCTGTTGGACATATATCCCACATATTGCAATTGTAGCAAGGTGACCAGACGTTAAGTGGTAAAATTCCCAGATTCAAAGACTGACAACCCAGAAGAGAGCTGGAAATTCTTCCACACAGACTGAGGAGCATTTGCCAGTCAGTAGAGATGGGGCTGAACTAAATGTTGGTCTGATTTCAGTAAAAAGCAGATTTTCCTTCACTGCAAGTCTTTTTCTATAGGTTTAAGGATGAACTAACATGAACATTTTGTTCATCTTACTTGTAATGATTATATTCCATTACAATTTCACTCAAAATGTATCACTAGAAAATTTTCCACTTGGAGTATGTGGAGAATGCTGTAGGTTTAATCATTCACACTAGACTAGATCATGGAGTGGGGGCTTTGCTCTTGAGTACATCAATATTTCTGGTGATCCTAGGCAGGAAAGACTCATCAGCCAGCCATACTCACAAGAGAAGGAAGATCAGAATGACTGGAATTAGGGCTAACCTAAATGGCAGGTTGTCCGCTAATGGTGGTCAAGTCATAAAAGTTAATTGGTACTTTCCTGTAGCACTAAAGTTCTCCCACTCCTATTACAGCATCATCAGACAGTGATGCAGTGATCTATTCTGAAGGCAGGTGTGGCGTGGGTTTTTTCTTAATAGGCTTTTGAGGGTTTCAAGGGGTACAATGGCAGATAGCACAACATTGATAGGGATAATGGGGACTGGATCTGGAATACCGTTTTTGGAGTTGGTTGAAAATTCTATTAAGCTGATTTCTTATCCTACGGTTTTCATATATTTTCTGTTTCAAAATGTCAACAAAGAAAATGCTGCTTTGGCTTTATGGATTTCAGTGGATATTTTTAAAAAACACTTCATGGTTTAAAAGAAAAAAGAAAAGCACTTAAACAAATATGGTCCTAAGCATGTAATTTATTGGTGAATTTCTGCACCTATGGTCATACGTCCTGAGAATCTGAAGGCTTACTTTGCCAATGAATGCAAAATCTTGGTTGTGTGGGATAAAAGAGAGCACCATATTCTTGTAAAGAAACAAAACAAAAAATAACCAGTGAAACAGCCAGACACATATTCTGACTGCCATAATCCAGTACTGAAGTCTGCCTGTCTTCAGGATGTGATGATGTCTATGTATCAAGGTTAACAAATTCAGCAGAAAAAAAAAACAGCCTTGTACACAGCATAGGAGAAAACATAACCAGAGAGGGCTCTCTAAATTCATTTCATTACATTTTGCCTGAAGCAAGCGATCTAGATATATATTTAAATGTATATCTTTTAATATGTGTATATTTATACTTTAAATTTTGGTGAAGATTGAAAAGTCTTACAATTTTATATAGAGAGGAAACACTGCTCTGTGCAAGGACTTTTAAAAATAAAACTTTTTAGTATAAGTGAATAAAGAAGTTGTCCTTTTATTGCTGTCTCTTCCAGCTGGGAGTTGATTTTCAGACTGAAGGAACACTCTGTCAAAGTACAGTATTGATGTTCCCACAAAACTTTGGCAGAGTACAAGACGTGCTACCCTGCTGAGGCAAAATTACATTTTCCAGGAAAATATAGGGCACAGATATTAAAATAATTCACCTGGAAAGCAGTCTATCAGAATGTAGCCTGTGTGCCTGAATACTAACAAGGGAATATTTTCCTCTTTCTTGAATATGGATATTTCACAAAAGTTGCTTCAGGAAAGGAAGTCACAATCTCTGGCCCATGGACTTTTCAGCATGAACCAGAAGCATCTGACCAGACAGAGAACTCAGGCTACTTTTTCAAATAAAGGTCAGCAGTCCCTGTTCAT